CAAAAATTGAATTTTGTTAGAAGCAAATTTGATCATCTATAAAAATTTCCTGGGGTAACGCGAGGCCCACCAAAAATTTGGGCCGGATCGGTTAAGTCGTTTTGAAGTTTATTGCATACAAACAGAAAAACAAAGTAAATATATAGATACGAGGCCGCAAAGTCGGTCAAGTAATTATTTGATCTTGCTTCTCCTGACACTATTGAAGCATTCTTTGAATTCGTTCAATGTAATGGTTTAAAGGTTAAATAAAGATCACTATAGCATTACTACTCAGTACTCACTAGACAATATACTGGTTTATATGGTTAAATGGTTGAATTGGTCTGCTATGGATATAATTCTATTAAAACCGGTTTTAGTCTGCTACATGGTACTACCTCCCTCAAATATCATAAATATACTGCGTATTCTATTTTCAAAGGTTATTTAGCACACTTTATAGGAAATTTAGCGATTTTTCCAAATATTAATCCATTTACGCATGTTTAAACACTGCTTGTCAATATATAACTGCCTGTTTTTCTATATCCTGTAGATACACTACCTGCCTTAAACACTGCCTTGTTGGCGTTAATATTACCAGCTGTAGTTTGAACGTAGCAACCGTAGGGATAAAAATTCTTTTCAATATTAAAATAAATTATTTTACATCAAAACAACTTACTTTCAAGATAATGAATTTTTTTTCGAAAAAGTTCTTCTATCACAAATTGTGACTTTTAAATGTCAAATTTAAAGTTTAAAACTGCGTCCATAGATTATAAACCATTTCAACAGATTGATCTTTAAAAAGTTTTTATACTCAGAGGTGATCAATCATGAGTAATGGGGGGAGTGTCATTTTCTTTAAAAATACTTGTATTCGATTTTGAATTTATTCAACAATGTTTACATATTTCAATATATTTTATACTCTTTTGAATTACAGATCAGATCAGATAAAACAAAAACGATACTTTTGTGTTCATTTTTTCTCCTTGTTGCAGTGTATATTATAATTTATGATATTATAACAGCACACGAGAGAATAATAATAAAAACACAATTGTTTTATTTTTAATCTATACAATCCAATTATATTGATTAAAAAATAAAACATCTATATGTATCATTGACTGTACAGTGTACATACACAATTTATACATTATTCAGAAATTAAATTGAAATAATATTGATATTAATATAATCTAAAATATGATAAACTTTTATCACCTTTATCGACACTTTTTTGAGTTTGTTAAAAAGTTAGCCTATTTTCACCAAGCTTAACTTAGCTTCAAAGTAAAAAATAATAAACTTTTATCATCTTTTGTGACACTTTTTTAGTGCGTTAAAACTTTGCTTAGGTTCACCAAGTAGGGCTTATTTCAATGCAGAGGGGGGCGGGTGGAATTCCAAACACCCCTCCAGTGGTTTTTCGTCATAACTTCAAACCAAAGCATGTTCAAGAACGCTTAAACTTAACTTCACTTTACAACTCCATAAATATTCTTCGTTCAATGCATAAAAAAAAATCAAAATAGTCCATACCTTTTGTACTATTTGAACTGTAGGTCTAAAATTTACATACATACAAGGTGATGAAAAAACACATCATTTTTTTACGAGTTCATGTTTTAGTATATATCAACAGTAATAATCAAAATGCAAAAAAATTAAATACATAAAAGAAAATCTGTGCAAAATCTTTTTTGTAAAAAATTTTGTTTTCAGAAATTAATTAGAAAATGCAAATTAGAAAATCTATTCTCATTTATGAATTTAATCTGTTGAAAAATGAAATTAAGGGATATACCAAAGAACGCAAAAAAAAACATTATAGTGCAAATCTGCACCAAACCATATAAGAAATAAAATATCAAAAATTTATTTACTGCTTGAAAAATATTTTAATAAAATAGAATAAATACATATTTATATCAATTTCTGCAGAAAAATATTTTTTCCCTATTTTTTTCTATGTAGTAAAACATATTTTTGCATTTGGTTTTTTATTTCAATATTGCTTCACCTAAAAACATCAACCCTGCCGACATTTTTATAAATTCTGGTTTTTACTCATTCGAACTAAGTTCCTATTACAAACTATTATTTTTCTTATTCCTATATCTTGGCAGTCCAATGTTCGATCAAACCAAGGTTATAAGGCAAGGAAAGTTAATTGCAGTTGCGTAAACTCTGCATACATATTGAAACCAGTTCTCTCTGGGCGGAATTTGTAAACAAGAATAGATACATCAGTGTTCGTTTAGTATCCGAGGAGCTTAAAAGCATTAGATTTTAATAGTTTTGATAATTCACATAATAGTTTCCTATGACCAGAATATTTCATTGATTTTTTATGTAAAAGATGGATCCCATGTCAGCCTTCGACATCCGTCTTGTGTTTACATTACCGCCCAGAGACAGTACACTGCGTACACTTCTGAAATAACTTTCCTTGCATTATAACCTTGGAACAAACAAACTAAGATTAAAATATTAAAGGATAATACACCACCACGAATGCATGCCCGAATATGAGAGGTCTCTGCAATTCTGCATGCCTAGCAGCTCTGTATTTCTAGCCAGGATGCTGCATGCCCGAATATGAGAGGTCTCTGCAATTCTGCAAGCCTGAGAATATCAACGCTTTCTGAAAATATTCTTAATCTTGGGATTGTTAACTTACTTTGAATTATGACTAACTAGCTGAAGTACCCGGCGTTGACAGTGGAATCAAAAAATTCAAAGTTTGATAAATAAAATGTCGAATTTTGAAAAATAAGGTTCCCTAAAAAATTCAGCCAATTTGGTTCATCCGTCTTGCCAGCTATATGCTAACTTATAAATTTAAAAACATATATATTAGTGAACAGCTTTATTAACATTATATAGATTAACATATGTTATCTTTTGAAAAGGAAAAACTGCTGTGTATGAACCAAAGGCGGCATATGGAAAACATCCACCTTTTAAAAATCGGGAGATGTCCCTTAGAAGATCCTTGGGAAGTGATTCAACTTCTAACTACTGATGGATGCGGGTTAGATATCCAATTTCTTTGGTTTAAAGGTGCTTGTAAAGAATTATGAACCTTTACAGTGATAACCAGAAAACTCTGGAATTGGAAGGCGACTTTAAAAAACTTAATTTATGACTTTTAATAGCGCAATGAACATGCGGCACAGCAACAGACCCATTTTACTTAATAAGTAATTAAATAACTTTCAAGTATATGTATTTGCTTTAAACAACATTAAATGCAATTCAGAAGTGCTATATTGCACTTCCTCCTATTCCACAGTTTTCTGGTTACGATTGTATCGAAAACCAGTTTTCTATAAGTTTGCTTTGTTTTTTTCTTCTGCCAAAATTTTGAATAAGAAAATTGAAATAGAAATTTTGAATTTTGCACAATATATTATACTGGCAGCCGTAGTACATTTGAATTCCCAAGCCGGGTCAACCATTCCGGTCCCAGTTTGTACTGTATCGCCCGAACATAGGGTAAATAAAGCAGACACTCAATAGAACTAGCCGGTGCAACTAGGTTTACGTGGTCAGACTTTAGGTTGAATTTACTTTTACTAAAGGGTCAGAGGTGCGTGAATAAAAACAAACTTGTGGAGCCTATTTAAACCCATAAACCCGGAAAAATATTTCCTCAAAATGATGCCCATCAGTATTTCTAACCCTTTCAATTCTAATTTAAGAAAAACAATTTCGCAGAATTTTGTTCCAATGTAAATCAATGTCTTGGTTATACCTTAAGGAAAACTTGAGAGGACATAACAAAATATGCACTACGTTGGAACCCTCAGGGCCACCGAAATAGAGGACGGCATAAGCAAACCCGGAGGAGATAGATTATAAAAGAGCTCCAGCAACTAAACCTCAATATGGCCTCAGCGGAAGCTGCAGCTGAGCACAGGAGGGGTTGGATGACTCTTATCAGCGGCCTAAGCTCTACTCCGGAGTAAACAGGTTGGTAAGGTAGGGTTAAGGATTAAGAATTCCTGAATCATACTTGTTTGCAGACTATAGGTTAAAAAATTTTCTCTCAAAATGGTTAAAAATTCTTTTAATACCTTTTTTTTTACTTAAATGTTATTACCCGGTATCCATTTGGAATCCATTTTATTTTGTTAATTTTCTTTTTGTTTAAATTTTGTTATATTTTCAAAAGTATTTTTAAAATAATGTGGTATAACCTAGATTTTTTAACATTGACAAAGATTGTGTAAAAGAAGTGAGTCAACGTTTTAAACAATATATTTTACGCACATTGATAGAATTGTAACATTTAAAATTTTAACATGTAACACTTTCTATGTACATTAAATCACAGATAAAAATATTAAAACATTATTAAAATAAACAATGAATGTTTAGTTTTAACACAATTAACAGCTAGAATTCAATTCTGTTGAATGAGATCTTTTATATGAGTAATTTCACATAAATGAACATTTCTTTAAATTGAAGTGATTGTGTCAATTATAGATTTTTTTTTTCATGCAAACTTACTGGATGAGTTTCTTACAAGTACAATTATCAATCACAATTTAGAAATAGGACGATTTCCTTGAAAATATGAATAATACAGCAAAGATTAAATAAAATTGTATTATCTCTATATTTTTGCAACCTGAAAACCTTTTATATTTTAAACTTAGATTATTTGATCAAACAGAATAGCATAGTTTTTAATATCTAAGGTCTACGTTGGGTTGCAAAGATATAGGGATAGAAAATCAGAGTTTGTGTCATTTTACGACATTACAACACGTAACATTAAACCGTAGATATGCTGCAGTGATGAATTATGCTATTTTATATTCTTGAATATATTGTGTGCATATAAAACTGTATAACAAGTTGATCAGAGCTGAAAACTTTAGACTAGCGGATATCAAGATTAATGCTTGATCCACTCTTTTTCTTAATATCGAGACTAACCTAATCTTGTTCCTGTCTCCTGAAAAGTGTATAAAATTCAACCAATCAGAGTCGCATATATGAAGGCGATTAATTTGAAATTTTGCGCGCCATTTAAGATTATATCTCATTCTAAAGTTTTCAGCTCAGAAAATTTTTCTGTAGTTGATCACCAACTACTAATTAGCGTTAAAAAAAGGTAATTGTGGGCTCCTGATTTTTTCTTCTTCATTTTTTCTTCATTTTTCCCACAGTTGCATCATCAACCGATAAACTGTTGGCTAATAATTTGTTTAACAATGATTAAACTTTAAATACAATGCTGATCAATCAGCTCTGGTACAATTGAAACTGTGTACCAGGTACATTAATTGATGGACCCTGGGCTGATACATTGACTGTTTGACCGTTGGCTGGTACATTAACGAATGGGTCGTTCATTTGTAATTAACTGCTGGGCCGTTGGCCGGTACATTAACTAATAAGTCGTGTGCTGGTGATTAACTGCTGGGCCGTTGGCCAGTACATTAATTGCTAGGCCATGCACTGGTAATTAACTGCTGGGCCATTGACCGGTACATTAATTGCTAGGCCATGCACTGGTAATTAACTGCTGGGCCGTTGGCCAGTACATTAATTGCTAGGCCATGCACTGGTTATTAACTGCTGGGCCGTTGGCCGGTACATTAATTGCTAGGCCATGCACTGGTAATTAACTGCTGGGCCGTTGGCCGGTACACTAATTGCTAGGCCATACACTGGTAATTAACTGCTGGGCCATTGGCCGGTACATTAATTGCTAGGCCATGCACTGGTAATTAACTGCTGGGCCGTTGGCCAGTACATTAATTGCTAGGCCATACACTGGTAATTAACTGCTGGGCCATTGGCCGGTACATTAATTGCTAGGCCATGCACTGGTAATTAACTGCTGGACCATTGGCCAGTACATTAATTGCTAGGCCATACACTGGTAATTAACTGCTGGGCCGCTGGCCGGTACATTAACTAATGGGCCGTGGGCCGGTACAATATTTATATTAAGTTATATTGGGGCCGGTATAATATTCATATAAAGTTATATTGGGGCTGGTATAAGCCGAATGATATGAATATATTTATTAGTCACAATAAAATACAGGTTAAACTAAGGAAATGCAGAGATTATAGAATTTTAGCCATAATTCCATAATTCTATTACTCCTGTAACCTGTATCTTCTAGTGAATAGGACTACGGTATCCTGTATCTTCTAGTTAATAGGACTCCTGTATCCTGTATCTTCTGGTGAATAGGACTCCTGTAACCTGTATCTTCTAGTGAATAGGACTACGGTATCCTGTATCTTCTGGTGAATAGAACTCCTGTATCCTGTCTCTTCTAGTGAATAGAACTCCTGTATCCTGTCTCTTCTCGTGAAAAGAACTTGTATCCTGTATCCTGTATCCTAAAACTAAACCAAGCATGGTCTAGGTTCTCCTGCAGTAATCAAGTGGCTTTCAACACTAACAACAGCATCAACAGCATCAACAGCATCGTCTTCTGCTGATGTGAACTCAGTAACAGCTGTGGAATTAACAACAACATTGTTCAAGGTAGTTAGGGTCTCCATAGCCCTATAGAATATTCACCTTGTTATTATTTTAATTATTACTGTATTAATTATCATTATTATTATTATTATATATTATAAAACGACTTTTTTCCGCTAGGTGTCTCTGCCACAAGCAATCATTCAAAGCATCGAGATTCGAGAGCAGACACATCTGGCGGCCAACTATTTTTGCGTTTTAAGTGCATTGTATGCAAAACGAATAAAAAATATTATTATGAAATATTAACTATATACGAATGTGTCGAAAAATAATCAATGACTATATGAAAGATTTGTTTGAAATTAAACTGATTTTTTTACGATCCGAGTCGTATAGTGCAACATTTTGAATTTGTATGGACGCTGCGTTCTTCCGTATAAGTCGTTTTTAACAATTTTCTCCTTAAAGACGCAAGAAATTAAGATTAGTAGCGATCAAAAGCGATTATTTTTCGCCGTAAGCCTATACCCCCTTTCACTTTTTGCGAACACTCCCTTAAAGTAGCATTTCCGATTCACAACGACCTCCTTCAAACCTTTGGATGATTCAAATTACTCAAATGCCAATGCAATGCTAAATGTTGACACTTTCGTGTAAATAATTTTAAAATCGACCATTCCAAACCATTTTTAAAATTTGGTGGATTTTCTTTTTTATTGGCGCATCTTTAATAAATCCAACAATTAAAAAAAAATTTCTTCCAATTTTGATATTCCATAAACCTTCGCTGGGGTCACGTGAGGTCCCACACCAAAGGAACTGAGTTTTGTCACAAACTCAAACTGTTTAATCCCTATACTTTTACAATCTGATTATGTAAACCTTTGATATTTCAAACTTAGATTATTTGGTCTAACAGAATTCATAGCTTGAAATATCAAAGGTCTATGACATTGGGTAGCAAAGATATAGAGATTAGAAAAGTAGAGTTTGTGACAAAAACTCGTTTCCTTTTGGCCCGATCGGTTCAGTCGTTTTGACGTTTATCGGTTACAGACAAATAAACAAACAGACAGACAAGCAAAGTATATATAAAATATATTTATTACCTTCTCTGCAATGCTTGCATTTCTATTTGAGCCCCATCAGATGGTCGACTATTAGCTCTCTAAAAATATTAATTTTAATATGTGGGGGGCGACATAGATTCTGTTAGGTCCAAAAAACTAGTAAAAAATAGCTGAAAACTTTATTTGAATCCTTGATACAAAGCTTGGTTTACAAAATTTAATAAAAAGATACGCTACAAAAATTTTATTTTTTCGAACCAGTTAAAGTTGTCAACAAATTTCAGGGGACATTAGTTCAAAAACGAGTATATGGCCCATTTAGAAATGGGCACAAATTGAAAGATTTGGTTTTATGATCCCGTCCTATATCGAGAGCAAAAATCGATAATACAAACTAACCAACATTTTATTAAGCATGACGAGGACAAAAATTCCTATCGCTAAATTACTTGCTAAAATTAAAATTATAATTTGAGATCTCCAAGAAAATCCCCCGTTTTCCATAAATAAATGGAATCTCCGGGAGATAACATATAAAATAAGAAAGATAAAGATTGAGCTAACAATGTGAAAAGAGAGCCGAATTAGGATTAATTATGCTCTGTATACACTTTTATGTATTTTCTAAGATTGTCTTTTGTTTAGGATAATTTACATTTAATTAAAAGGTTATTCATTCGTTGTAATTGGTCAAAATTGTATTTTGCAATCATTGGATATATTGATTATGATTTTAAAAAGTCCTGTGCAAACGAAATACAGCAATTGTACACTGTTGTCGGACTCATTTCGCTTTGTAAGTTGATTTTGTAAGTTGATGTAAGTTGATTGGCACAAAACTTGGCAGTCATCTAGTCCACAATTGGAAACCTTATTATGTAAAAATATTGACTATATAAGAAGAAATATACTTTTTGGTCTTTTCATATTCTCAATTTTAAAGGCGGTTTCTCTTTAAATGTAATTTGCGGATCTGTGCTGCAAAGACAACAAATTAAATTAACTGAATTCAATACGTGAGAAGTTAGTAAAACTACGAAAGCTTCCTCATTGTTGCTCAGATAAAGGTGAAATGTTGATTGGACAAAACTTTTTAATTTCGTTTACAATCCCTTTAATTAAGTACTGACCCTGCTGACGCTGCGGATGGTTTTCTTGAACTTGAACTGAAGAATATCCTTGAAATCATTGTTGAGAAGGCAGTAGATCACGAAGTTGGTGCTGGAGTTCAAGATGAGGAGAAGGTGACTAAACCTGAACATCTTGTATAAACTGTGGAATAGAAAGACGACTGTTAAATTCAAAAAATTATACTAAATAGTGCAATTAACATGAAACAAAACAATTGTGCAGGTCATGTGAGGTCTTATACAAAATATGGGCCCGATTGGTTCAGCCGTTTTGACGTTTATTGGATACAAACTGATAGACAGGCAGACAAGCAAAGTATAGATATAGATATGAATTAGTAATCTCTGCTTGTTTTGGTGTCTGCCTGTCTGTTTGATTGTCCAATCATAAATCATATATCATGAACCCCTCGACCGATTTGCTTCAAACTTTGATTGGGAAAGTCAGTAGAACCACTGAAATGTTCGTAGCCTGGTTTAAAAATTCACTGTTGAGTGTGTTGACCTTTATAGGGAAAACTCCTGGCGAAGCTGGGTTCCAAAGCTAATTTCTTAAATATGTTTTTTTTTCATTTTCCTTTGGATTTCTATTCTTTCTACATAAATTTGAAGCTCCAATTCTTTTTTTGGAGTTCTTATCTGAAAGTCTTTTTAACAAATAATTTTACCCTTTAATTTTGTTTCATAAATTTTAGAATGCGTTTCGAACAATCGAATCTGCAGTATTCAACCGACATGCATTCTACTAAAAAATTGCTAATTTTTTTACTTACCCTGTAACGCAAAGAAACCAGCCAGGTTGATCAAGACAGCTGAAAATAAAATTGAACTTTATGACACGTGTATTCAGGGTTACCTTCAAGGCTGAGAATGTAAAGAGAAGATAAATCTCATAAAAATATGATGATCCAAAGCTGAAAAATGTTTAATTATTGCTTTGACAAAGTAAAACACTCCTGTATGCGAAATCTATTAGGCCTCATTCAATCAGGGTTCAGTCATGTGTTTGTTGTCTATTCTGAACCAATAGAAATAGTAGGGCGGTAACGTTTATCTTTCTATCTATCTCATTATCCAATCGGAGTTATGAATCCTTATATCATCGCTATCAGTAAATGGAAATATTTACTTCTACTGAAACAATAGTGAAAAAAATAGTTTATAGTTGCAAGAAATCAAGAAAATATATAAGGAAACTGACAATAAACAATTCCAAACTGTCTTCCCTAAAGTCTCATCCTTTGTGGGTAACCCCAATTATACAACGTTATGTTGCAATATTGAACTACTAAAGTATTTCGATATTATGAACATAATGATCGATATTTTGAACATAGTGTTGGATATTTTGAACATAATGTTCGATATTTTGAATATTATGTTCGATATTATGAACATAATGTTCGATATCATGAACATAATGTTCGATATCATGAACATAATGTTTGATAATAAGAACATAATGTTCAATATTATGAACATAATGTTAGCAACAGTAATTTCGCACATTAAAAATCTATCGGTAACTTCGATTTTACGAAGATGTTTTAGCCTCTTTTTGTCTGAAATTGTCCGATAAATAAGATTATTTTATTTTCTTCTCCAAACCTTGAATGGCTATCAAAACCTTAAAATAATTTCCCATGCTGAACGAGAGACATTTATTTCTTGAAACCAGATAGATTCTAGTATACAATAGATGGCAACGTAGAATGTGTATGCTCTCAGTACAGCTGTATTCTTACGTCACATGTGTCCGACAAAATTATTAATAATAGTGATAATAAAGTGCTTGTCTTACAATAAAATGAGTGCAATTTTAATGCTTGTTATTTTCTGTTTTTTTCACCTCTTATTTAATCTTGGAAAACATGTCAACTAATGTGAGAAAATTTCTTTTTCCTTGTTATATTTGACACTTGTGACGTCTCGTATAATTTGTTCATTTCTCTGTTGCCACCTATTGTGCATGAAAATCTATTTGCTTGAAACTATATTTTTATTTCTTAAATAATGATGATGTTATAATGAATGTTCATATTAAGCGTATTTATCCTTATTTCAAGATCAAATTTCATGATGAAAAATATTTGATATATTCCGGCGGGAAACTAAATATCCTTATTTTATATCTTATTAAACCATCCTCCCCCCCCC